CCCAATTCGTCGGTCACGACGTGACGTCTCCGTTCCCTCCTTCAGGGAACAAGGGTTACCATACGTAACCGAGACGTTGTGTATTAATTATTTCCCATAGAGTGATAGTGAACAATGACCAGAGGATGTAAAATATTGCACATAAAGTTATGTCATCAAGTTGAAGGCCAGGTTTGATGTTCATGTGTCTCATAAACAATCCTGGTTCACGAAATTTGAATGTATGCATAATCAAATAAATTGCATGACTGAGATTTGAGAGCTTCGCCAAATGTCAGGATTTCCAGTGAATAATAACTTACATTTTGGCCTGTTCTACACACATATGACTTCAAAAGACATGGAATGTAGCACTCTAGTAATAGCTTATAGACTGCTTTTATGATTCTTTTTGTCAATTTTGGAGCTTGACAACCTAGTCGCCATTCACTTTAGGCTAATTGTACAGAAATGAGCAGCTTTTTTGTGTTCCAGGAAAGTAAATTATAATCGAATTCTAATTTGTGAGCTATTGCTTTAAAGCCTTTACATATCTGACTTATGTTTAAAAACAAGCTTGATACTTTTTACTTCTTTTTTTAAAATCCTTTTTTAAAAGCAGAAAAGGAATCATACAAGTATGAATTTGATTCCTATGGAGCACTCATGTTATCATCAGCACACTTTGAAAAATTGATAAAACACTTCACTAGTTAGACTCGACATTGCAAATCTTCAAACAGAAATTCTGATTTAAAAGGAAAATGCCCAACTAATGTTAACATAAAGGTCAATCAAGTTTATAGTTTAGTAAAATGCACAACAATTTCAGTGAACACAGCATCCAATATATCAACCAATTGTTGTCCACTCACTATTTTTCTCAAGCAAGTGAGATTTGCATGTCAAATCAAGGTCCTTGATTCCTTTCTCCTGTCTTTGGGATTTGGCTACTTTGAATAATTCACTTTGACATTTCTTGCCAGAAATATTTGCACATCCTTTTACTCCCACAGATGTACTACACCCAGCTTGTATTTTACCCTGTCACCGCTCTATCAATCAACACCATCTTCTTTTAACAGACTCCCTGATGCCTTTCCATAGTCTTTGTCTATATATCCTTGAGAAACACATTTGTCCTGGGGGACAAGTCAACGTTTTTGGCAAAATTACAGAGCTAGTCACATTGAAGTCAAGGTCTCTGGATGTTATTAAAGAAAAATAAGTGCAGTCTGAAGGGATTTGACAGGTTGATAGCTACTTGTCTATGTGTGTGCCAAAAAAAGCCAAATTCACTAGTTATGATTTAAGTAAAATAACTCTTTTGTCTTTTTTGCAGCACCACCTCATGCCTCAAATTAGCAATTTACCAATCGAAGTCCGAAAAGGGCTTTATTCTTCCTCTTTGAACAAAGAATCCCGTTCTTAAAAACACAGGCAGTTTGTAATGAGTCTGACCAGATAAACACAGTGCACAAAAAGCTGCTCGCCTGTACGCCTGATGCTGTATGAAGATAAATTAAATGTGTGTTCAGGCGCTGAGTGTTCAACAACACACTATTGTACTGAAAATAATTGCATATGAAATTAATAGTACTGTAGACAAGTGATGTTTTGAAGAGAACAAAAAATGGTTTTGAGCATCTGTATTCATAGATATGCTTTAAACTAGAAACACTGTTCTCAAAAAACACCCAATTACAGTGGTAAGTGAAGACTCGCCCTAGAAGCCAAGACAAAGAAATGGGGATAATGAAACGCTCTGGAAGTCAAAGCATATTCACAATGTTACTAGTGCGAAGCATGACACCATGACTCTGCAAACAGTGTTAGTTATCTGACCTAAGATAGATGCATGAGGCACGAATAAATCATTTCTGGAATGTGGCACCTTATGCTTTCTGTTCTTTCTCATTCGCTCACATATTTAGTATTGTAAATAAATGATGAAGTGGGAGAAAATGAGACAGGGATTGGAATGAGGGCTAGTCTGTTAAAGAGGAAGGGGAACGTGTAGTAAGGATCACTCTCACAAGTCACATGACCTCATTCTTAAAGCATGCACTAGATACAGGGAGCAGGGACAACACATTTGCACTAGATTCAAGATCAGGTAATTTGTCGTTTTACCTTAGTATTTGTTTCCCAGTTAATTAATG